GGTTATATATCCTACTTGGCCTGGGTATTTGTGGAGTTGCTGGGTCTCTTGAAGCCGGCGGTGAGTAATAATAGAGAATAGATCTCTCTCTCTAGTGATCTATTATCTCTTACCACGGACGGCACAAGAGGTTCACGAGTCCAAGGCAGTCTCCGAGTGGTCGTCCACTGTGTACTCACATAGCTGTACTTACGGGGGTTGAGCTCTGGCTCATTGGTCCCGCCTCTCAACTGTCGATCAACTGGTGTACAGGTTCCTGAGCTTCTCGACCTCTATCATACCTACATTTGAAACTGTGTATAGAGTCAGCCTCCACCACATCACTGCCTAATACATTCCATTCGTTAACTACTCTCACACTGAACAAATTCTTTCTAATGTCTCTGTGGCTCATTTGGGTACTAAGTTTCCACCTGTGTCCCTTTGTTCGTGTTCCACCCGTGCTAAATAATTTGTCTTTGTCAACCCCTTTGGGCGCCTGACGGCTGGGTGGACAGCGCTTCGGATTCGTAGTCCTGAGATTCCGGGTTCGATGCCCGGTGGAGGAGGAGACAAATGGGCAAAATGTTTTTTTCACCTTAATGCCCCTGTTACCTAGCAGTAAATAGGTACCTGGGAGTTAGGCTGCTTCCTGAGGGTGTGTAACAAAAAGGAGGCCTGATCAAGGACCGGGCCGCGGGGACGCTAAGCCCCGAAATCATCTCAAGATAACCTCGATAACCTGAGTTGAACTTTAGTAGCCATTTTCAAGACCATTCCTCCAGTCTGTCCAGGTCGTCCTGGACCTAGAGCTGTGCGTGTGCGTGTGGGTATGCGTGTGGGTAAGCGTTTGGGTATGCGTGTGGGTAAGCGTGTGGGTAAGCGTGTGGGTATGCGTGTGGGTATGCGTGTGGGTATGCGTGTGGGTAAGCGTGTGGGTATGCGTGTGCGTGTGGGTATGCGTGTGGGTAAGCGTGTGGGTATGCGTGTGCGTGTGGGTAAGCGTGTGGGTATGCGTGTGCGTGTACATTTGGTATAGAGAAGAGGTGAGTGGTGGAGAGCAGTGGTGGAGGGGAGCCGGGTGATGGATGGAGCCAGACAGTAACTGCCTGCTGGAGACTCCGGCCCGGCCCGGCGGCCAGACCTACAGGGACAACCCGGGGACGAGGGCAACACGGAGGATGGAGGGGACGGAGGGGAAGGAGGGGACAGAGGGGAAGGAGGAGGGGACAGAGGGGAAGGAGGAGGGGACAGAGGGGAAGGAGGAGGGGACAGAGGGAAAGGAGGAGGGGACAGAGGGGAAGGAGGAGGGGACAGAGGGGAAGGAGGAGGGGACAGAGGGGAAGGAGGAGGGGAAGGAGGAGGGGACAGAGGGGAAGGAGGAGGGGACAGAGGGGAAGGAGGAGGGGACAGAGGGGAAGGAGGAGGGGACAGAGGGGAAGGAGGAGGGGACAGAGGGGAAGGAGGAGGGGACAGAGGGGAAGGAGGAGGGGACGGAGGGGAAGGAGGAGGGGACAGAGGGGAAGGAGGGGACAGAGGGGAAGGAGGAGGGGACAGAGGGGAAGGAGGAGGGGACGGAGGGGAAGGAGGAGGGGACAGAGGGGAAGGAGGAGGGGACAGAGGGGAAGGAGGAGAGGACAGAGGGAAAGGAGGAGGGGACAGAGGGGAAGGAGGAGAGGACAGAGGGGAAGGAGGAGAGGACAGAGGGGAAGGAGGAGGGGACAGAGGGGAAGGAGGAGGTGACAGAGGGGAAGGAGGAGAGGACAGAGGGGAAGGAGGAGGGGACAGAGGGGAAGGAGGAGGGGACAGAGGGGAAGGAGGAGGGGACAGAGGGGAAGGAGGAGAGGACAGAGGGGAAGGAGGAGGGGACAGAGGGGAAGGAGGAGAGGACAGAGGGGAAGGAGGAGGGGACAGAGGGGAAGGAGGAGAGGACAGAGGGGACAGAGGGGAAGGAGGAGGAGGGGATAGAGGGGAAGGAGGAGGGGACAGAGAGGAAGGAGGAGAGGACAGAGGGGAAGGAGGAGGGGACAGAGGGGAAGGAGGAGAGGACAGAGGGAAAGGAGGAGGGGACAGAGGGGAAGGAGGAGAGGACAGAGGGGAAGGAGGAGAGGACAGAGGGGAAGGAGGAGGGGACAGAGGGGAAGGAGGAGGGTGACAGAGGGGAAGGAGGAGAGGACAGAGGGGAAGGAGGAGGGGACAGAGGGGAAGGAGGAGGGGACAGAGGGGAAGGAGGAGGGGACAGAGGGGAAGGAGGAGAGGACAGAGGGGAAGGAGGAGGGGACAGAGGGGAAGGAGGAGAGGACAGAGGGGAAGGAGGAGGGGACAGAGGGGAAGGAGGAGAGGACAGAGGGGACAGAGGGGAAGGAGGGGATAGAGGGGAAGGAGGAGGGGACAGAGAGGAAGGAGGAGAGGACAGAGGGGAAGGAGGAGGGGACAGAGGGGAAGACAGAGGGGAAGGAGGAGGGGACAGAGGGGAAGGAGGAGAGGACAGAGGGGAAGGAGGAGGGGACAGAGGGGAAGGAGGGGACAGAGGGGAAGGAGAGGACAGAGGGGAAGGAGGGGGACAGAGGGGAAGGAGAGGACAGAGGGGAAGGAGGGGACAGAGGGGAAGGAGGAGGGGACAGAGGGGAAGGAGGAGAGGACAGAGGGGAAGGAGGGGACAGAGGGGAAGGAGGAGGGGACAGAGGGAAAGGAGGAGGGGACAGAGGGGAAGGAGGAGAGGACAGAGGGGAAGGAGGAGGGGACAGAGGGGAAGGAGAGGACAGAGGGGAAGGAGGAGGGGACAGAGGGGAAGGAGGAGGGGACAGAGGGGAAGGAGGAGGGGACAGAGGGGAAGGAGGAGAGGACAGAGGGGAAGGAGGAGGGGACAGAGGGGAAGGAGGAGGGGACAGAGGGGAAGGAGGAGAGGACAGAGGGGAAGGAGGAGGGGACAGAGGGGAAGGAGGAGGGGACAGAGGGGAAGGAGGAGGGGACAGAGGGGAAGGAGGAGGGGAAGGAGGAGAGGACAGAGGGGAAGGAGGAGGGGACAGAGGGGAAGGAGGAGAGGACAGAGGGGAAGGAGGAGAGGACAGAGGGGAAGGAGGAGGGGACAGAGGGGAAGGAGGGGACAGAGGGGAAGGAGGGGACAGAGGGGAAGGAGGGGACAGAGGGGAAGGAGGAGGGGACAGAGGGGAAGGAGGAGGGGACAGAGGGGAAGGAGGGGACAGAGGGGAAGGAGGAGGGGACAGAGGGGAAGGAGGAGGGGACAGAGGGGAAGGAGTGGACAGAGGGGAAGGAAGAGGGGAAGGAGGAGAGGACAGAGGGGAAGGAGGAGAGGACAGAGGGGAAGGAGGAGGGGACAGAGGGGAAGGAGGGGACAGAGGGGAAGGAGGAGAGGACAGAGGGGAAGGAAGAGGGGAAGGAGGAGAGGACAGAGGGGAAGGAGGAGAGGACAGAGGGGAAGGAGGAGGGGACAGAGGGGAAGGAGGAGGGGACAGAGGGGAAGGAGGAGGGGTCAGAGGGGAAGGAGAGGACAGAGGGGAAGGAGGAGAGGACAGAGGGAAAGGAGGAGAGGACAGAGGGGAAGGAGGAGAGGACAGAGGGGAAGGAGGAGAGGACAGAGGGGAAGGAGGAGAGGACAGAGGGGAAGGAGGGGACAGAGGGGAAAGAGGGGAAGGAGGAGGGGACAGAGGGGAAGGAGGAGGGGACAGAGGGGAAGGAGAGGACAGAGGGGAAGGAGGAGAGGACAGAGGGGAAGGAGGAGGGGACAGAGGGGAAGGAGGGGACAGAGGGGAAGGAGAGGACAGAGGGGAAGGAGGGGACAGAGGGGAAGGAGAGGACAGAGGGGAAGGAGGAGGGGACAGAGGGGAAGGAGGAGGGGACAGAGGGGAAGGAGGAGGGGACAGAGGGGAAGGAGGAGGGGACAGAGGGGAAGGAGGAGGGGACAGAGGAGGAGCAGGGGACAGAGGGGAAGGAGGAGGGGACAGAGGGGAAGGAGGAGGGGACAGAGGGGAAGGAGGAGAGGACAGAGGGGAAGGAGGAGGGGACAGAGGGGAAGGAGGAGGGGACAGAGGGGAAGGAGGGGACAGAGGGGAAGGAGGGGACAGAGGGGAAGGAGGAGGGGACAGAGGGGAAGGAGGAGGGGACAGAGGGGAAGGAGGAGGGGACAGAGGGGAAGGAGGGGACAGAGGGGAAGGAGGAGGGGACAGAGGGGAAGGAGGAGAGGACAGAGGGGAAGGAGGAGGGGACCGAGGGGAAGGAGGAGGGGACAGAGGGAAGGAGGAGAGGACAGAGGGGAAGGAGGAGGAGGTACAAGGAATAGGGAGGAAATAATTACTTGATTAGATTGTCCCACACAGGCGAGGCCACACGACCACACAGTGACCAGCATACACGTCGTCACCGGTCCTCCGAGGAAGGTATACCTGGAGCATACCTGGAGAGGGTTTCTGGAGTTTTCCTGCCCCCCGAGCCCGGCCTGGGGCCAGGCTCGACTCGAAGGGACTCGAAGGGGCTACCCGTAGTGTACACAAGTGTGTTATAGAGCACTTAACCACAGTAGGTGATGAAAGTCCCTTTACACACTCAAGTTACAAGTGCATAACATGTATCACATAATTGTTGTGTTACACAGTAAATCTTGGCTACAGGTCCAGTATATCGCCGGGTGGTCCAGTATATCGCCAGGTGGTCCAGTATATCGCCAGGTGGTCCAGTATATCGCCAGGTGGTCCAGTATATCGCCAGGTGGTCCAGTATATCGCCAGGTGGTCCAGTATATCGCCAGGTGGTCCAGTATATCGCCAGGTGGTCCAGTATATCGCCAGGTGGTCCAGTATATCGCCAGGTGGTCCAGTATATCGCCAGGTGGTCCAGTATATCGTCAGGTGATCCAGCATATCGCCAGGTGGTCCAGTATATCGCCAGGTGGTCCAGTATATCGCCAGGTGGTCCAGCATATCGCCAGGTGGTCCAGCATATCGTCAGTTGGTCCAGTATATCGCCAGGTGGTCCAGCATATCGTCAGGTGGTCCAGCATATCGTCAGGTGGTCCAGCATATCGTCAGGTGGTCCAGTATATCGCCAGGTGGTCCAGTATATCGCCAGGTGGTCCAGCATATCGTCAGGTGATCCAGCATATCGTCAGGTGGTCCAGCATATCGCCAGGTGATCCAGTATATCGCCAGGTGGTCCAGCATATCGTCAGGTGGTCCAGTATATCGCCAGGTGGTCCAGCATATCGCCAGGTGGTCCAGAATACCGCCAGGTGGTCCAGTATATCGCCAGGTGGTCCAGTATATCGCCAGGTGGTCCAGCATATCGTCAGGTGGTCCAGTATATCGCCAGATGGTCCAGCATACCGCCAGGTGGTCCAGCATGCCGCCAGGTGGTCCAGTATATCGCCAGGTGGTCCAGTATATCGCCAGGTGGTCCAGTTTATGCCAGGTGGTCCAGTATATCGCCAGGTGGTCCAGCATATCGCCAGGTGGTCCAGCATATCGCCAGGTGGTCCAGCATATCGTCAGGTGGTCCAGCATATCGTCAGGTGATCCAGCATATCGCCAGGTGGTCCAGTATATCGCCAGGTGGTCCAGCATATCGTCAGGTGGTCCAGCATATCGCCAGGTGGTCCAGCATACCGCCAGGTGGTCCAGCATATCGCCAGGTGGTCCAGTATATCGCCAGGTGGTCCAGCATATCGTCAGGTGGTCCAGTATATCGCCAGGTGGTCCAGCATATCGCCAGGTGGTCCAGTATATCGCCAGGTGGTCCAGTATATCGCCAGGTGGTCCAGCATATCGCCAGGTGGTCCAGCATATCGCCAGGTGGTCCAGCATATCGCCAGGTGGTCCAGCATATCGCCAGGTGGTCCAGTATATCGCCAGGTGGTCCAGTATATCGCCAGGTGGTCCAGCATATCGCCAGGTGGTCCAGCATATCGCCAGGTGGTCCAGCATATCGCCAGGTGGTCCAGTATATCGCCAGGTGGTCCAGTATACCGCCAGGTGGTCCAGTATACCGCCAGGTGGTCCAGCATATCGCCAGGTGGTCCAGCATATCGCCAGGTGGTCCAGCATATCGCCAGGTGGTCCAGTATATCGCCAGGTGGTCCAGTATACCGCCAGGTGGTCCAGTATACCGCCAGGTGGTCCAGTATACCGCCAGGTGGTCCAGCATACCGCCAGGTGGTCCAGTATACCGCCAGGTGGTCCAGCATACCGCCAGGTGGTCCAGTATACCGCCAGGTGGTCCAGCATACCGCCAGGTGGTCCAGTATACCGCCAGGTGGTCCAGCATACCGCCAGGTGGTCCAGTATACCGCCAGGTGGTCCAGTATTCACATAACATTCAGTTCAACATATCTCACCCGGGGGGGGGGGGGGTTCGGAAGGCCGTCAATATAAGACTAAGAACATAAAGTATAAGAATTATGGATGCAGAAGACCAATTGGTCCATTGTCTATTGATTGGCCTATTGAGGAAGGTGCACTTTACATCCACCCAAACTCCTACAAGTGTCTAGGCTACGCTTGAAGCACTCCACCGATCAGGTCTAGGCTACGCTTGAAGCACTCCACCGATCAGGTCTAGGCTACGCTTGAAGCACTCCACCGATCAGGTCTAGGCTACGCTTGAAGCACTCCACCGATCAGGTCTAGGCTACGCTTGAAGCACTCCACCGATCAGGTCTAGGCTACGCTTGAAGCACTCCACCGATCAGGTCTAGGCTACGCTTGAAGCACTCCACCGATCAGGTCTAGGCTACGCTTGAAGCACTCCACCGATCAGGTCTAGGCTACGCTTGAAGCACTCCACCGATCAGGTCTAGGCTACGCTTGAAGCACTCCACCGATCAGGTCTAGGCTACGCTTGAAGCACTCCACCGATCAGGTCTAGGCTACGCTTGAAGCACTCCACCGATCAGGTCTAGGCTACGCTTGAAGCACTCCACCGATCAGGTCTAGGCTACGCTTGAAGCACTCCACCGATCAGGTCTAGGCTACGCTTGAAGCACTCCACCGATCAGGTCTAGGCTACGCTTGAAGCACTCCACCGATCAGGTCTAGGCTACGCTTGAAGCACTCCACCGATCAGGTCTAGGCTACGCTTGAAGCACTCCACCGATCAGGTCTAGGCTACGCTTGAAGCACTCCACCGATCAGGTCTAGGCTACGCTTGAAGCACTCCACCGATCAGGTCTAGGCTACGCTTGAAGCACTCCACCGATCAGGTCTAGGCTACGCTTGAAGCACTCCACCGATCAGGTCTAGGCTACGCTTGAAGCACTCCACCGATCAGGTCTAGGCTACGCTTGAAGCACTCCACCGATCAGGTCTAGGCTACGCTTGAAGCACTCCACCGATCAGGTCTAGGCTACGCTTGAAGCACTCCACCGATCAGGTCTAGGCTACGCTTGAAGCACTCCACCGATCAGGTCTAGGCTACGCTTGAAGCACTCCACCGATCAGGTCTAGGCTACGCTTGAAGCACTCCACCGATCAGGTCTAGGCTACGCTTGAAGCACTCCACCGATCAGGTCTAGGCTACGCTTGAAGCACTCCACCGATCAGGTCTAGGCTACGCTTGAAGCACTCCACCGATCAGGTCTAGGCTACGCTTGAAGCACTCCACCGATCAGGTCTAGGCTACGCTTGAAGCACTCCACCGATCAGGTCTAGGCTACGCTTGAAGCACTCCACCGATCAGGTCTAGGCTACGCTTGAAGCACTCCACCGATCAGGTCTAGGCTACGCTTGAAGCACTCCACCGATCAGGTCTAGGCTACGCTTGAAGCACTCCACCGATCAGGTCTAGGCTACGCTTGAAGCACTCCACCGATCAGGTCTAGGCTACGCTTGAAGCACTCCACCGATCAGGTCTAGGCTACGCTTGAAGCACTCCACCGATCAGGTCTAGGCTACGCTTGAAGCACTCCACCGATCAGGTCTAGGCTACGCTTGAAGCACTCCACCGATCAGGTCTAGGCTACGCTTGAAGCACTCCACCGATCAGGTCTGGAATCATACGACGAACTGATGAACCTACTTAAATCTGTTATTTTATTATTTTATTTTATTCATAGAATATATTGAGTGTGTCCCGCGGGCGAGGTATTGAACCAGCACCCAGGCGGCGACCAGTGCTAGCAGTGCTGCCAGCACCCAGGCGGCGACCAGTGCTAGCAGTGCTGCCAGCACCCAGGCGGCGACCAGTGCTAGCAGTGCTGCCAGCACCCAGGCGGCGACCAGTGCTAGCAGTGCTGCCAGCACCCAGGCGGCGACCAGTGCTAGCAGTGCTGCCAGCACCCAGGCGGTGATCAGTGCTAGCAGTGCTGCCAGCACCCAGGCGGCGACCAGTGCTAGCAGTGCTGCCAGCACCCAGGCGGCGACCAGTGCTAGCAGTGCTGCCAGCACCCAGGCGGCGACCAGTGCTAGCAGTGCTGCCTCACACTCATCCAACACCTGGATTGTACCTGGGGAGGTACAGTCGACCGGGGGAGCCGGTCGGCCGAGCGGACGGCACGCTGGACTTGTGATCCTGTGGTCTTGGGTTCGATCCTAGGCGCCGGCGAGAAACAACGGGCAGAGTTTCTTTCACCCCATGTCCCTGTTATCTAGCAGTAAAATAGGTACCTGGATGTTAGTCAGCTGTCACGGGCTGCTTCCTGGGGGTGGAGGCCTGGTCGAGGACCGGGCCGCGGGGACAATAAAGCCCCGAAATTATCTCAAGATAACTCAAGATATACCTGCTTGATGGAATTCTGGGAGTTCTTCTACTCCCCAAGCCCGGCCTGAGGCCAGGCTTGACTTGTGAGAGTTTGGTCCACCAGGCTGTTGCTTGGAGCGGCCCGCAGACCCACATATCCACCACAGCCCGGTTGGTCTGGCACTCCTTGGAGAAATCTGTCCCGTTTTGTCTTAACCAATAGAATACAGCTTGTCTCTGTCAACGGGTAGGACACCGTTGCTTCACGCCATCCTCGTGTCTCCTGCACGTGTAGTGTGGTCAACACACCGGTGTGTCAACACACCGGTGGGCTGACACCCAGTGTGTTGATACTGGGGGGCTTACACCCAGTGTGTTGACACTGGAGGGCTGACACCCAGTGTTGACACTGGGGGGCTGACACCCAGTGTTGACACTGGAGGGCTGACACTCAGTGTTGACACTGGAGGGCTGACACCCAGTGTGTTGACACTGAAGGGCTGACACCCAGTGTTGACACTGGGGGGCTGACACCCAGTGTTGACACTGGAGGGCTGACACCCAGTGTTGACACTGGAGGGCTGACACCCAGTGTTGACACTGGAGGGCTGACACCCAGTGTTGACACTGGAGGGCTGACACCCAGTGTTGACACTGGAGGGCTGACACCCAGTGTGTTGACACTGGGGGGCTGACACCCAGTGTTGACACTGGAGGGCTGACACCCAGTGTGTTGACACTGGAGGGCTGACACCCAGTGTTGACACTGGAGGGCTGACACCCAGTGTGTTGACACTGGGGGGCTGACACCCAGTGTTGACACTGGAGGGCTGACACCCAGTGTTGACACTGGAGGGCTGACACCCAGTGTTGACACTGGAGGGCTGACACCCAGTGTTGACACTGGAGGGCTGACACCCAGTGTTGACACTGGAGGGCTGACACCCAGTGTGTTGACACTGGGGGGGCTGACACCCAGTGTTGACACTGGAGGGCTGACACCCAGTGTTGACACTGGGGGGCTGACACCCAGTGTTGACACTGGGGGGCTGACACCCAGTGTTGACACTGGGGGGCTGACACCCAGTGTTGACACTGGAGGGCTGATATGTGTGTGCTTATAGTGTTGTGTGACCTCGTGGTGTCATGGGAAGGAATGAGGTGAGGAGAGAGATTCAGGGAGAGGGGGGGGGGCAAGGTGCCAGGAGAGGGGTAAGGAGGACTAGGCATAACAGAGGAGTCAATGGATGGAGAAAGGAAGGGGAGGAGGGGAGAGGGCAGGGTAACAATCACAAGAGGGGGGAGAGGGTGCGTGGGGGGAGGGGCGACTGGCAATCAGTGGGGGGCGGCGACACCTGAGCCAACACCTGCCTCTACACACCCGCGGCACAACTATGTTGTGAGCACCAGGGCGGAGGAGTGTGTTGAGGGGGCGAGGTGTAGGGAAGCTGGTGAGGATAAGATGTGGTCAAGGGGACCAACTGGTGAGGGACGATAGACAGTGAGTGGTAACAGCTCCCGAGAGAGAGACCACTCAATACCACTAACAACAGCTCGCTGGGACAATGGAAGGCAAGCCGGGGGGAACTCTGCCAGATAAATTAGAGAGATAATTAACACAAATCATACTCACGTCTCATTTTCATGATAAGAATTCAGTATGATTCGGTGATTATGCTTATAATTCAGTTTATATTTTTTTGGCCAGGAGGGTGTATACAGAGAGAGGATTTCAGGTTAAAATAGTTCATTAGACTCGAGAGATGTCTACATTCTTGGCTAGTGCAATATTCAGAAATTTATTCTCTGAAGTTACCTTGAAGTAGCTCCGAGGATCAATGTCCCTGTGGTTGGGTCTCTGACCAAGGCTCGAGGTTTACGGTCTGGTCAACTAGGCTGTTTGACGCCGCTGCACGCAGCTTGACGTATAAGTCACAGCCTGGTTAATCAGGTATCCTTTAGATGTGTTTATAATTTGCATTTTGTGTACCGGAAGATGAAGAGTGTTAAAAAGTCTTGAGCACTTACTGTTTAGAATTGTCTGTTGGTGCATTTATCGCTCTCCCAATAATATTCTGTTTCACTGAATGGATTTCAGCCGTAAAGTCTGCGTGTTCTCCAGGTCAGTAACTTCTCCAGCTCTGAATGGGGCTGTTAGCGTGCAACAATACTTCACCCTAGCTAGCACGTGTGTCTTAAAAGTTACCAGACCAAACTGGTCTGGCATCTCTCGTTTGAAAGGTGAAAGTCATTTTACTTCTAGTTGACAGCTACTTTTTTTGTATTTTTTTAAATTAAGTACAAATCTTAGTTACAACTAAGTTACAACAACTTGTTAGTTAACCTGAACGACTCCAACTCAACGCATCTA